GTGGTAACCAGTTTCCCCATCAGCTTTACAGAGAGTACATCTATTAGGAAGTAAACAATAGTTGGGTCTCTTCTTCTGAAGTAGGTCATTTGTGTTAATTCTTTCCAGTAAAGTTTCCCAACAAAAACTACCAACCCGAGGAGGAATGGGCCTACTCCAAATTTCTTTAACCGGGAAAGACAACCCAATGGGACCAGAAGGCTGAGTTAAAGACTCAAAAAATGAGGCACAAGAGAAAACACCTAAAGAGGAGGGAACCCAAAATCCGGTGTCCTCCTTAATGGGATCCAGGAAGACATTTTCAAGGATGGCTAACAAAGACAAAATGTGGTCCAAGTTTGTGTCCCTAATTGCCCTTCTCAGCCCTAGGTTCCACCCAAACCCTGAAGGAGAGTCTGAGGGGGTTAAGAAGGAAGAAATGGGTTCATTTTTCAAATCAAAAAGAACATACAAAGAGGGTAATTGGTCCATTAGAGGTGAGTCCCCAACCCAAAGTTGTTCCCAAAATTTTATTTTATTGCCGAAGTTAAGACCATACCTGATACAAGGGGAGAATATTGGAAGCAGTTTGTGTATGGCTGACCAAGGAGAAGCGGTTGTAGTCCTTGCCGAGATTCCAAGTTCCCAACCATTGTCTTCCAACCCATGTATACTAGCCACAATCTTTGTCCACAACTTGTCTCTTTCCAACAAAAACCTCCATAGCCATTTCCCCAACAATGCCATGTTCCTCTTCCTAAGATTCCCAATCCCAAGACCTCCTAGCTTTTTACCTCTAGTTACCACCTCCCAACTCACCCTATGGTCCCGCTTCTCCTCTCCAGGCTCCCACAAGAAATCCCTCATAAGCTTTTCCAAAGTGTTAGAGACCTTTGTGGGGATCTTAAACACAGATAGGAAGTACACAAGAAGATTAATTAGGGTTGATCTAATCAAAGTGATTCTCCCCCCCAAGGAAAGATAATTTTTCCTCCAAGAGGCAAGCCTTTTCCCAAATCTCTCCACCACTGGGTTCCAAAAGCTTACCTTCTTAGGGTTATCCCCTAGGGGGAGGCCTAAGTAAGCCATCGACCAATCCGATGTTGCACACCCTAAGACATCTGCATACTCTCTAAGCTCCCTCCCCTCCAGATTCACACCCGCCAAACTACTTTTATCCAAATTCACCTTGAGATTGGATACCCGCTCAAAGAGTTGTATTCTCATAGTTTTTCATTGGTAAAAAAAAAATCTAATACAAAACCAAATAACAAAGACAAAACTAAGATTTAACATCACTTCAAAAAGAATTCGAGCTAGCTCAAAGTGGTCATCATCCTTATTAAGCAAGCAATAATACTATTGCTTTACATATTTGCATTACAATTGCTTACTCATCATGCTATAATCCCACCTATGCAATCCACATAGTCTTCGTAATTTTCATTGGGGAATGTCAATTTCCAGTAATATTTAGTGTCAGTACCCATGGAAATGGAAATATGTTTTTTGATGAATGATAATAAATTTATTAATTCAAAAACTGATTTAGAGTGAGTTCATACATCCCAGGGAGAGGCGTGAGCTGCAGCCCCTCCTTGAATCTTACAAGTAAACTAGGAAAGAAAAGCAAGAATCACAACTAAGCCCAAAACAATTATTCCCTATTTACCCCTTGCTTGGCTAACACATCGGACAAAGTATTTGTTGATCTCCCCACCCACTGTATAGTGACCAACATATTCCTTGTCAACCAACTAAATTTCTTCATTTCATTCTTGTAACACCACATAGCCTCTTCAGGATTTTTCAACTAACCCACCACCACTTTGGAATCCCCCTCGATTGTTAGGTGTTGTACCCCCAGCTGGTTTGCAAATTGCACCCCTTGTACAGCACTCTACCTCAAACAAAGGCCCTTTGGGGTTGGGAAAGATAGCAAGATGATCTTGAAACAAAGTGAGAGGACTTATGATATTGTATAGAAGCTTCCAACCAAACTAAAGGGTCTGATTTCCTTGGGATGGACAGTTTCAAATTTCTTGGGGATTAAAGTCATAAAAGTTGAATATGATCCAACATTGATGATACAACTAAACCCTCCAAAAGAGGCTTGTGTTGAATAATTCATCTGATGTTGGGATTAACTGAGCATTCTTTAAGATAAAAGTCTCAACAGTATTAGAACTGGCAATGACGAGTAGTATTGTAATAAAACTGGCAATAGTGATAATGGAAGATCTAATGTTGATGATTTTGAATCAATTGATAAGACGGGCTTTTTTTCGCAAGCTGTATGTTTTCAGTATTTAAACATAGATAAAAATACAGGAGGAACGAGCTGGTTTTGGAACTGCATGAATAGTCTTACATTAGAGGGTTTCTTGAATTATTAGATGATGATATTTCTTATCTACTAAAATGTAGGGACTAGAGACGAAGAAAATCCATAATTTTTTTCTTTTTTTTAACTAATAAAACTTGAAACCATCTTCTAACAAGTTATCATTACATGTTACCATTTCAAATATAATTCCAACTTGGGACAGAATAGTAAGTACATTTCAAATTCCAGAATGCATGGTCTACATTAATGTGTAAGATCTTATTTCCTAATATACCTTCTAGGATAGATGACTATTGACTCTCCTATTCCCGCTCCTGCCAAACCCCCCAAATTAAAGAGCAAGGGTTATTAAACAGGTCTCTCCTCTCCCCTCCTTTTCATCATCCCATCAAATAGAGGTTTCTCTCTCTCAAATATCTTGCTTCTGCCTTTATCTCATGACTGTCAAATTGTGAAATTGTATTTCGATACAGAAAAGCATTACCATCCATTTTCCAAAGGATATGTATATTATCGTACCAACAACCTATATACTTTATTTTTAAGAGCTTATATATTTGCTTAAAGAATTAAAACCTCAAAAATTAGCATTAGTGTTGTAGCATATAATAAGTAGAAGCAGTATCTGAGCCACTGCTCTACATTGGAAAATTAAGTTCAAAAACCAATAGATACCTTAACCCATGGTGACTAGCCATAATGCATAACTCATACTGGTTACTGCCAAAAAAATCAGGCTTGATAAAGACTTTAATCCTTGGGGCTTTGTCTATGAAAAACTGAGTTGGAATCATCTATTTAGCTCCCTCAAAGGCAACTAATAACTGCCAGCATCATCATGACCAGTATTGATGTGGTCCATCAAAATTGGTCCAATATTACAAATTGGATAAGAAGATCAAGAGTCAAAACCTACCGACTTTGATGACCCGGACCTTTGGTGATTTGGTACATCACTTAAATAGCATGGATTTGGTCCAACACTTGAAAAGACAAGAAGCATATCTATCACTTCATCTACAATTCCACTTCCATGACCTAGATTAGTTGAAACCTTTGCACCTCACTTGAATTTAGTGCATCACTTACATAGCCTGGATTGGTCCAACACTTGAAAGGATGTGAAACATATCTATTGCTTCATCTACAATTCCACATTAGATGAAACCTTTGCACATCACTTGAACTTTCAAGGATAATTGACTTTTTTGAGGATTCACTTTATGGTCTGGATATTTGATTAAAAGATCATGACTAGAAATTTTTTTCTTAACATTATTAATAGAAAAGGGTAAATCATCCTATACACCAAGAAAAGGGTATTTTAACAAAGCACCTAGCATGCATATAAGCATTTCTATAATCAGTAAAAAAATCCATTAATGATTTATAAAAATTATGACATTTAGTACAGATTGGCACATCCAACGAACCCTTCCCCCTTCTCAGATTACATATCTTATAATTTTGCCCAAAATAGAAGATGCCTGTCAACTCCTTGTTTTGCAAGCACATCTGCCATCCCATTTGCAGTCCTCCTTACCCAACTAAAAGTTTCACTGAATCTTTTTGCTAGAGCATCAATTTTCCTAAAAGCTTGTCTGTATTTCCAAGGGGTTGAATTGATTCTCTTTGTCCAAGCAATTACTAATTGTGAGTCTCCTTCAATTTCCAGTTCCCTAATTTCAAGTTGAGCAGCAAGTCTCATTCCTTGTAGCAGAGCCCATATTAGCATATTCCATCCATTAAGTGGGTTACGTGATAATAGGGTGAAAATTTACAGAGGAATCTGCCAAAAACAAAGAATATGATGGTTAAATGTCAGACCCCCCAAAGTATGGGAGGGGTTGCAGCAGTTAATCTTTTTTTGTCAAATTTCAATATTGTTGCAAATAATTTTCAAAGGTGGGTTTCAGTTGTATTAGTTTGCTATTTTTGTTTTCTTGGTCGATGTCAGTTTCCTGACAGTAAAACTTCTTCAGCAGATTGTGACTCATTTTTTTTTTCTTTTTAGCTGTGTTTGGTTGGGCATAGAATATTGTGAAAATTGTTGTTTTGGGAAATAACTAGTCTTTGTTTGGTTGTCAGCAAAACACAAAAAGAAGTAAAATTCTATCCAATATTAATTCTTTACTTTTAAGAGTACTAGTGGATACCTGATCTCTTTAAAGCAGTTAAATATAAGGTTTGAATTCAAAGAACTCTCCCACCTACACATTAGCCTAAAATCTAGTAGCCCAGCCCATGACCCCAACTTATTTTTGGGTTGAAATTGAACATGGCAAGATTTAGAAATATAATTTTTCACAAGTAATTGTTTTTACCCTTTTAAATATTTTCTATGACAAAATATTTGTCAGGGATTGAAAAGCATTTTTTTATTGCTAACTCAAAAAAATTTATTGACTGAAAACCTAAGAATTTTTTTTGACGGATGGATAAGAACAAATTCACTTTATTTATTGGTAACCCAAAATGCAACCTAAATGAAATTTTACTTTACCAAATATCTTCGGATTTTTTCCTATAGTTTTTTCAAAATAGTTATTCCGTGCATATTCTACATCATCCACACAAGTTGTGCGGTACTTGGACCCTACTAACAATACATATTTGAACCAACAGTTGTCACCATAGATTGCTTATCTGACCTACTTGCTAGGAGATCTCCAAGGCAGATCCATCTTTTTTTAAATGAATAAGGCAGATCCATCAAATTGACCATCTTGATCCACTTGCATGTGCATAGTCAAGCATATGAAGATCCATATAATTCAACAATAATACAAAAAAATGGCAATATAGAATTAACAAATAGACATGGGAAAGGTAAAGGGAAAGGGAAAGGGAAATGTAACCTTATTCCAAATATCAACCAGCTGATCTAAAAACCAAAGTCACTAGTACTGAACTATGGAAAAAGTGCCAAAAAGAAAAGAATGTGAGCAAATTCAACTGACCTTGAGTGAGATCGATTTCTTTACTTCTTCCACCTTTTCTTCAACTTCCTTCTTATGTTTCTTGTCTAACTCACTCATTGTATCTGCCCATTTTATTTTTTCTTGAATTGAGAGTAGTAGATTGTCTGAAGTTGCCAACCTACAATGTATTTATTCATAAATCAAAGGAAGGTTAAAAAATGAACGGTTTCATAAGGCATGCCAACTAGTAGTAAATGAAGAAGGCACGTATTTATATAGTTAAGAGTTCCTTGGGCCCTTGCATTTAACTTACTAAAGCAATTTTCATTAATTATCCAGAAAAGAATGGGGAGGAAGAACCCTAATGGTGTCATAAGACATGACCACATACTGTGCATAAGATAGGGACATCTACTGTATAAGTATTGTCACTGGAGTGGTAGAGCACAAGAATGGGCTATCCTCAGTGTGGTAAGAACTTTACTTTCTAACTCCCATTCTCCTACTTCCTTTTGGGTGGAGGGGGCCAGCACAACTGTGTTTCTTATTAACCTTCTTCCTTCTTCAATTCTACATAATCCCTCACCTTTTTAGCGTTTGTTCAATCGTTCTCCTAATTTCTCTATGCTTCATGTTTCTGGATGTGTTTGTTTTGTTCACCTCCCACCACATGAGTGCACAAAGCTTACACCTCAGGTAGCATTTCTTTGTTATGATCTCAAAGCTCATTGTGTTCATATTTCTCGAAACATTATGTTCCTTGAAAACATTTTTTTTCTTTTCTCATGTTCAAAAATTTCTTGCTCCTTTTGTTTCGTTGTTGCACTATTTTGATTCTACAGGTCCTAGGGCTTCTTATCCTCCATCTTCTTCCATTGCAAAGCCCTTTCAGGCCTACATGAAGAGGCATTCTGTTGCTCCAGCTCATATAGCATTGCCCCCTTCGCCACCAGATGTTGGATCTACACCACCTTTTGATCCTATAAGTACCACATTCATTTCCTCCACTAATTCATTGTCTTCTTCAGATCCTCCTTTACGTCATTCCACTCATATTTCCTGTCCTCCTAACCACTATGGTTTTCCCTCTAGCCATAGCCCTTTCTCTGTTGTCTTGTCCTCTATAGACATTCCCAAGACTTATCAACAAGTCATGATTGTTGCTCATTGGAAGGAAGCTATGGATATAGAAATACAGGCATTCTTGGAGAATGACACTTGGGAACTTGTTCTTCCTCCACCTAACGCATTTATCACTGGTATTCGTTGGGTATATTCTGTCAAATTAAAGTCTGATGGGAGCCTTGATAGGTACAAGCTAGACTTGTTGCCCAAGGCTATAAAGCAGGAATATTGGTATTGACTATGAAGAGACTTTTGCTCCAATAGACAAGATAATGACCACTGTGCATACCAATATTGCCATCTCTGCTATCAAACCGTGGGATGTCCATCAAATGGATGTCAAGAATGCATTTCTACATGGAGACATGAAACAAACAATTTATATGAAGCCTCCTCCTGGATATAGTTCTAATCCTTAGATAGTATGTTGTTTGGAGAAGTCATTGTGTGGTCTCAAACAAGCTCCTCAAGCTTGGTTTGAGAAATCCTGCTCTACCATCACCGAAGCTGAGTTTGTTCAGAATTCAACCAACTACTCTTTATTTACTCTTTGGGGTTCCCATGGCATCACTCTGCTATTGGTCTATGTTAATAATATCCTAATTATCGGGGATGATATTGATGGTGAAGAAGACTCCAAGTCATTCATTCAAGATGAAGGATCTTGATCGGTTGTCTTATTTTCTGGCACTAGAAGTGTCTCATTCTGCTCATGGATACTTTGTAAACCAACATTAATATGCTCTTGATTTGGGGTCAACTCAGCGGCTCAGCCCACTTGACAAATGATAAGCATGTTAATACTCTTCTTGAACTCAATCATAAGCTCTCTAGAAAGGATGCAGAAGCTTTGGCTGATGCTACTCTCTATCGCTGACAAGTTGGCAGTCTCATATATCTTATCATGACTCGTCAAGATATCTCAAATTGTCAACTATTTTATCTCTGGTCCTCGATAGCCTCACATGACTACCATCCTTCAAATTATCTGGTATATTAGAGGGACTTTGTCCCATGGACTCTTTTTTTTCCTCACCTTTGTTTACTCTTGCCGCCTATGTGAACGCTGATTGGACCAGGTGTCCTAATACTCGACACTTTACTACAAGGTGATGTGTCTTTCTTGGAGATTCTTTGATATCCTAGAAGTGTAAAAAACAACAAATGGTATCCAAATCCTTTTTGAGAAAAGATAACAGATTCCATTAAGATCAAAAAAGGGGGAGGAATGAGGAGATGTACAAAGCCTTGTCAACAAAAAACAAAAGACAAAGCCCACTACAAAGGCAAAGTATGATCACTATACAAAAAATCCCTTCCCAGCCAAGATTTAGCTAGATTATCAGCCACATGGTTTAATTCTCTAGGAATCCATCTAAAGCTGCATTGTAAGAAAGAGGCCAGCTCCCTGATTTCTTACAGTAAATGAGATAGTTTCCACAGGTCCAAAGTTTGTCCTGAGGCCCAGCTTATAACATTCCTTGAATCTCCTTCGACTACAATGAAACAGAACTGATGAGATTTGGCAATTCTGAGGCCTTCTAGGAGGGCCTAGCCTCTGCTTCAGACGCATGAGCCACCTTTCGAGGGCCATTAAAGGCCCAAGTCACATCTCCATTCACTCTTCGAGTCAAACCTCCTATTCCAGTATTTGGGCTGTTCTTTGCAGACCTCCTAAAGCTGCCATCAAAATTCAGAATGAGCTTAGAATCTTGCCTTGGGATGATTTTCAGGGGAGGTTGTGGGTGAAAAGGAGATGTTGACAAAATGGTTGTCCAATATGTCATTCTGATTGATACCTTCAAACACTTTACTAGCCACCATCCAGCTGCTAATGTTAGCTAGGATACGATCTCTAAGAGTCTCCAAGGAGGAGTAACTCTCATCAAATAATCTCCTATTTCTTTCCTCCCAGATATTCCACAAGACAGCATGCACAATTACTTTCCAGAAATAGTTTCCTCTCTTGCCCAAAGTCAACTTTAGACCTTGCCAAGAGTTGATAAACTCTATAACAGAGTTTGGGGGAGTCAAGTTAAGCCTGCCCCTAGCTGCTGAATCAAGGAAGAATTGCCAAAGGCTTCTAGAAGCAATACAGTTAAAAAAAAAAAAAAAACGTGTCCAATAGATTCTCTGTCCTTATAGCACATCAGACAAACAGAAGGAGAGATAATAGCGGTGTCCTTGAAATCTCTTTTGGAGGTTGCCACAGGTATTCATCTTTGAGCAAGAAGCCTCCCAGACCATAAAAGAGACTCTAGGAGGGACTATGGGGAGCTAAATCTTTTTGCCCGGAAAAGGTGGGGGGATGGGATGGTGGTTAAGTGTTGAAAGAATGAAGAGGTAGTGAAGGAGCCATGCGGGGTTAAGGACCAAATAATCGTGTCCTCAGTGGAGGGGGAGATGAAAACTTCTCAGAGTAGGGAGAGTAAGGAGGTGATCTCAGGTACTTCTAAGTCTCTCAGCTGTCTACGAAAGTTGAAGTTAAAAGCGAGGCCCCCTGATCCTCGTAGAAGAAATGAGAGCTTGTTTGTCACGCACTAGCCTAAAGAGAGAGGGAGGCTTCACAGAGAGGAATGTTTCCCCACCAAAGGTCTGTCCAGAATTTAATAATGTTCTCATTTCCTATTTTCAATCTAATAAGGGGAGAAAAGGAAGCAAAAGAATGGAGGTTTCAACAGATTTTGAGAGGAATGAGCCGGTAAAGGGAGAGAGTTGCCCCGTCCCCAACTATTTCAACCATATTTGCTGCGAGTTACAGAGACCCAGAGAGTTTTGTTCCGTTTTGAACCTCCAAAGCCACTTCCTGAGGAAAGCCTGATTTCTTTCTGAGATGTGGCCCAACCCTAATCCCCCTTATTTCCTTGCCTTGAACACAACCTCCATTGAAGCCAAGTATCATGTTGTCTTCTATTTATAGTGAGTTGGTGTGGTTTCGTGCCCTATTAAATGCATAGTTGTTGTAGAGAACACTAATGTTGACCGCACTAAGGTGGTCCCCACTGTTCGTATGTCAGCAATAAGTTATGATTATGATTAGTTCTTTATGATAAGATTAGGACTAGTCTTTTATAAGATTAGGATAAGTCCTTTTTCAGCTTTATCTTATCTTACCATGTAAGCAATTCAGTCCTTTTACAAGTATGATACTATGTATATAAATTTAAGAGGGGGGCGGCTGTTTAAACACATCAACCCAACTCTCTTTTATCAAAATCTCTCTCTCTCTCTCTTCTTTTCTTATTTTTTTCTTCTCCTTTTGAGTGTCTGTTCAATCTTGAGCGACTACTTGGTATCAGAGCATTCGATCTAGGGTTTCTCATGTGGAATTAATTCAGCCGACCACATGAGAATTATTTAGGGCTGAGTTTTTTTTCATTTGACTGATTCTTGGAGATTACAAAAAGTCTTCAGCAACTGTCCAAGGATTGGAAAGTGCTCCTTGTAATTAGGAAGAATCAGAGAAGAATTAAGTGATCAAGGTTAGGTCTTTGGTCAAGATTGGAGGTGCCAATCAGATTTTTTGGTTCTCTCATCAAGATTGAAGTTGGCGATCAAGAAGATTTTTCTCCGAGATCAGTTCTGTTTCAGAAGTTTCTCAGGTTGATCAGAATCAAGATCAATTTTGAGCAAACTAAAGTTGGCGATCAGAATTTCAGCAAGAATTTTTTGAATCAAGATCAGTTTTTTTTCTCATAAATTCCTGGGTAAATTCTTATTCCTTCTTGAGGGCAGCAGCAAAGATAGCTTAATTTGTGAGACCCAGTAGGCTGATTGTTACAGTAAATAGAAGGTGTTTTTTGCTTAACCTCTAACCAAGAATGGAGTTCAAGCACCAAGGGGAGGGTTGTTTTGGGACTGGTTCAGGTGGCATGACTGAAAACACCTTCCAAATTACAACTATAAAGTTTGATGGTTCAAACTACTTAGAGTGGGCCCAATCAGCCATGATGGCCATTGGGGGAAGAGGAAAACCGAACTATTTGTTGGGAGATGTGAAGGAACCAAATAAGGAAGATCCCACTTATGCTAAGTGGATTCAGGAAAATTATT